GCTCCTTGGGAGGCTGCTTCTCCCTCTGCCTCTCTCTCTATCTCTCTCTCTGTCTCTCATGAATAAATAAATAAAATCTTTAAAAAAAAAAAAAAGTTCAGTTATTTAAAGAAGTGAGGAACCATCTTACTTTGTGAAATAGACTAGAGAAAGCCAGGTTAGCTGTAAAAAGAATGCATGGCAATATACTTAAAACTGAGTTTCCAGCAGATAACACACTGAGACATGGAATAGCTTTGATATTATCTTGATAATATTAAATAACTGGATTTCAACTTGTAATACATATTTTTTAACAGTATATGTCTTGTAGTAAGTGTGCTGCTGAAGCGAGCACAGCAGTATATGCCTTCTAAATGTCACACATACAAGGTGGCATAAGTGAGTCCAGTAAGCTCTTTTCAAGTAGAGGTCTATCTACAGTCGAAGCACTCACAGGTAGGACTTGGACATCACAAATAGAGTTTCCCTTCTCAGAATTATCCTGATACTCTGGCCTTGAAAAGCAGACACCACCACCATGTTACAAAAGACAGTACCACAGAATATCATTTAGACAAGCACTGGAAGACAGGATTAATTTCCAATACTACTATTAAGATGTCTAGTTTTGATCTCTTATACCCTTGATAGTTCTATGCTATAATTATTTTCCCCCTGTAAAATGGAAATAATGTATCTTATACTTCTAAAAGATTTCTTGTTTGGTAATTTTCTATAGTACAATATAGTATAATTACAGTATAGCATAGTATAATACAGTATAGCAGTACAGTATATAGTGTAATGCATTTTACTAGCACTAAAGCAAAAAACAATATAAACAAATTGAATATTATTACAAATTCTTGCTTAAGAGGTATACAAAATATTTAGAAACCTTTCCCATTTCTAAAATTAAAGAGAGGCATATATAAATGTCTTATTAAATTGAATCTACTGTTCTATAGGTTTGTTTATATATAGGTTATGATTCATAGTTTATTCTTATAGTAAAAAAATACAATAAAACGTAAATATAAGAGCAAAAAGGTACACATGCAAAATAAAACTACAATGTAAGACAATTGTTCAGATTACACTCTGACTAGCAAACAAAACAGAATAGCTAGCAAATGATCAGCTCTTTATGAGGAATATTAACAGATAATTTTTATTCTGAACATAATCTAAGCAATCTCATTTTTTTACAGACATACAATAAACTGCACATACATAAAATATAAAACTTGGTAACTTGAAATATGTATATACCCATAAACCATCACCACAATCAAGATAAGGAACATATCCACCACCCCCAAGAGATTCCTTATACCCAGGCAACCACTCGTCAGTTTTTGGTCCTTATAGATTAGTTTGCATTTTCTAAAATTTTATGTACAGAGACCATGCAGCATGTTCTCTTTTTTGCCTGTTTTCTTTCACTCAGCATACATTTTTGAGATTCATTCATGCTACATAGGAGATTAATTTTTGTGAAACAATTCTCTAGAAAAAACAACCCTACCCTGAAATAGTTCGACTTTGTATTTTGCTATATAACAAGACTTATTAAGTTGAATCTCATTGGAAATGCCAAAATAAACTCTAAAACCAAACAGTAAAAACCCCATAAGTCTCAATTGTTTGCTTGTTCATATAAATAATTCATTTTTTTGGATGTCTTAGATTAGTATCTAATGTGGTCTAGAGCACTTGACTGGGTGTTCTAATTTAATGATATCCATAAGAGTGTTCGGCGTCTTTGCTTGTCTCAAGTTGTGCCCAGACTGATGCTCCCTGGTGGTCTAGTGGTTAGGATTCAGCACTCTCAGTTTGTGCCCAGAGTATAACCCTCTTGCCTTTTTAGGTCCTAATTTAATAGTAATAATAATAAT